GGGACCACTTGGGGGGGGGAGAGCTCATCATAAAGTAAGTTGTCTTTTTTCTTTGAAGTTTCTGAGGTACAGAAAGATTGACTTTCTTTTCAGCGAACTAACCAGATACTGTTTACAAAGTAAAAAAAAAATATATATATACGCTATATATAATTTATGTGGTTGCTTCTTCTTTTTACCTGAAAAAGTACAAATTTCTGGTAGTTTAAGAAAAAATACATTTTTAAATAAAAAATGGATTGCTTGTTTTTTTTTATTTTGTATATTTCCTCTTAAGTTGGTAGGTTAGTTTTCGCTCAAAACATCCGCGAAGTTTCAGCTGTCGAGACACATCTGTGGCTCAGTGGTAAGTCTAAGAGCATATCACGCTAAATATTGGGTTTCGATACCCGCGGTGATAGAAGCACAGATAGCCTATTGCGTAACTTTGCATTTTGCAACAAACAAACAGATGTAACTGATCAAGTCTGGAGTTTTACTGATGGTCAAATAGAGGTTCGACTCTTCAGGTCAATAGGTCAAATTAAAGTATTTTAGATTGTCAAGTCTAAAAAAGTTCCAACTAATTGAAATCGAACTGTGGAGAACTTTGTTTGTTATAGCGTGAATAGTTTCGACTGAGTTTGGATAGTTTCAGTAAACAATTAATAAATGACAGAAACGTTAATCAGTGAATTGTTATAGCGTGAATAGTTTCGACTGAGTTTGGATAGTTTCAGTAAACAATTAATAAATGACAGAAACGTTAATCAGTGAATTGTTATAGCATGAATAGTTTCGACTGAGTTTGGATAGTTTCAGTAAACAATTAATAAATGACAGAAACGTTAATCAGTGAATTGTTATAGCGTGAATAGTTTCGACTGAGTTTGGATAGTTTCAGTAGACAATTAATAAATGACAGAAACGTTAATCAGTGAATTAAGTCTCAACTATACGATCGAGGATTAGATTTGTTAGATAGTAGAATTCATAAAATATTCTACTTAAAGAGTTTCGCGAAGAATTACACATAATCGTTCTAAACTTTGAAAGGCAGATAATCAAAAGGACCCACCGCCAACTGTTGGACTACGCTTCTGTGAATGAGTAGTGAGATTTGACCGTCACCCTTATGTCGCACCCACAGCCCTACTGTGAAGAACGCTGTTTTTTTGTTTTTTTTTTGCAATATTTGGATGTGAACCACGAACCCTCGAAATCACAGTCTGGCGACGCTCGGCCCAATTGGTTGATTTCAAAATTAAGTTTTGATTTCGTTCCTGCAGATACATTGTTCAACTTTAAACAATCTACAGTAGGCTCATAATAGTAAAACTGAGCCCGTGACGTCACAGAGAAGATGAATGATGTAGATATTTCGCTATTTGAGCTCCGAGTGTATCTCACGTATTTGAGAATTAGGCTTAAGCGGACACGTTAACATAAACATAATTTTTTAAAAATCTGACGCTGTTGGTATAGAGACAAAACAAAGGTTAATTAGAATTAATTATCAAATATCATCTCAGGTATGAAGTTTGAAAGTAATGGTATAAACTGCCAGTTTTCCATTCATGCCCTCCCTCCCCTAATGGTTTGACGGTAAGTTTGAGGACTTAAGACGCTAAAAAACGGGTTTTGATACTCGTGTTGGGCACAACACAGATAGCCCATTGTATAAGTTTATGCTTAACTAACGCCAACAACATAAAAAAAGAAAAATGGTCATTCGTGAAAAATTCATATTTTTTAAAAGTTTTAAATATGCTTTAATTAAATAATATTTGATATTCTCCCTGGTGGCACAGTATAAAGTTTGAGGTTGGATCCCCTGTGCAGTTTTACGCTTAACAACAAACATTTATCATAAGACATATCCTGATATAAATATATGCTTGTACCCCCTCCCCCCCCCTTCCCATCTTCTTCCATATTTAGCGTCAATACGGCCTGTCAGTTTACATTCGTGATAAACTTTTTACTTCGTGATTCTGCACGTGTCAGGATTATTGTTGTTTATTATGACGATAACGTAGACCAGTCAGTTACAGCATGTGGTCCTCTGAACATACATCAGCGGTTCCTTCTCCACCTGTTAGCTTGTCGTTGAGCGAACACGTGAGAAAAAAATTTCAAAATTCAACTCCACTGTCTAGTCAGCTTTAGAGATGAATTTCCTTGACGATGTCAAATGGGATATCTAAGCGGTCAGTTGTAAGGACGGGGTCAAGAGTCACTGGTAACGAACGGACCTTGTTATGTGTTAGTTAACGTAAGAGCCAGGAAGATAAAGGGGCGCGCTACGCCGAAAACATTTATGTATTACTAGTGCCCTCTGGTGACAGTTAAACTGCTACCTCTCTGTGTGGTAAATAAGGTCGTTCATTGAAACATTAAAATGTGTTTATTTGTTTTATAATGTTCACCCCAAACTACACAATAGCTATTTGTGTATAGCTGTACTTAACTTGGAACTGATTAGCTGTACTTAACTTGGAACTGATATAGCTGTACTTAACTTGGAACTGATATGGCTGTCCTTAACTTGGAACTGATATAGCTGTACTTAACTTGGAACTGATATAGCTGTACTTAACTTGGAACTGATATGACTGTCCTTAACTTGGAACTGATATGGCTGTCCTTAACTTGGAACTGATATGACTGTCCTTAACTTGGAACTGATATGACTGTCCTTAACTTGGAACTGATAT